TATTCTTTATGTTGTTTTTGTGATTTTTATTATATAACTATTCTTCACAATATATACTTAACTTATCATTGTTGAGTAGAATTAAAATCAAATTCCTTTTATTACTTAATGGGGTTAGCTCTGTCAATTGTTCCATCACCTAAACTAGTGAATTTACTTGTATAAATGGTAGTTTCTAAGTAGAAAATTTTATAAATAATATTTTTTAATATATATAATAAGTAAAAAAAAAAAAAAAACCAAATGCGAGAGACTTGTACTAATAATTTGTCTTTTGGTTTAATATTATGGAACAAGTAGTTGCTTATTTAAGTAGTGTTCCATCTTTATAAATACAAATTTATTTCAATTATATGATTAAATTACGTCAAACCTTGATTATATTATTTTAGGAAAGTATTGACATTTTCAGTAGTTTTATATAGTTTGATTTCTGTTATTTGATAAAACTATTGAGTAAAAGACTTTGACAATTAAACTTTATGTAGTTTTTTTTTTTGTTTAGGTTTAAATTTACAGTAGTGATCTAATATATGTAAATTAACCATGTGGTTAAAAATTAAATACTTGTCACATTGAAAGCAAATCGATGATAAAAATTTTACGAGAATACAATGGAGAACAAAATTATTTTTATAAGTTAATTGTATTGCAACAATGTAAGAAGACTAAATATCTTGGATAATTTAATTTGATCTGGAGAATATCAATAAAATGTTTCATAATCAACCTTAACTTATTACAATTTAATTCATATTGTTACTACGAATATCAATTGTTAATAACTAACAATATATTATTAAAAACATGTAAATTGGCTTTCGGTAACAATAAATTTTGGTCTATAGACAAAATGATTCTCTATTGAATTCATACAAACGATTTATTTACCAAAATAGAAAAAATTGTACTTTACTAAAATTTACTACAAATTTGATGATCATAATAAGATAATGCACTTCATGCAACTCAAAAGGCTATAGTACAAACAATATATAAACGTTGATTTCCTACAAATATTGTGTACGAAGTTATAATTTTAAATCACTAGCAAGGGTTCATGAGTGTACATCTTTTCTCGATAGATATTTATGTATTTCGTTCGTACAACCAACCAATCTTGGTCATTTAAATCTTGAGGCATATCCTGTAGCTGAGATGGAAACCAATTCTCCATTATATTCTATAATTTCAATTCTATTTTATATAATTTTGATATAGACGTATTTATTACGGGTGGAATTCTCATTCCCACAGAAAAAATAATGTTGATCGGCTATGAAGTTGAACAAATCTTTGTTATTAGATCTTGGAATAAGTAATTGAGAAATATTGTCTATTTAATATACAATGTTGCAAGAATTTTTCTTGGGATATTTTAGGACAATCTTGTCCTTATCATGAGTAATTGATTATGTCTGTCTATACGTTGAGCAAGGCTCTTATTCATTGGTTATAATCACATTTCAATTTAAATCTCCAAATTAGTGAACAGATCCTTAATCAAATCTAGCAATAGGGGCAATGTCATGCATTTTTGTCCACATTCTTATATAATCCATATGCGATCTTATCTACATATGCAATATTTCAATATTTCAATATCTCTACTTTTTATTTGTCCTAAAAAGAAAATATTTTTATTTTTACCTATTTTTATTAAAATGTGTAACCGGTCAAATGGACATACATTTTGATGACGGGGGAGTATTACTTATACATTACTAATAGTATTTTTTGTTTACTTAATTAAATATACTTATATTTTGACACATATTGACAATCTTTCATTATAATTATCATAACTATTAATTGTACTTATTATTTATTTAATTTTTCAAAATATTCTTATATAATTTTTATTTTTATATTAAAATACTAGTATGTTTTTTTTTAAGTCATTTTGTCTAATCTTCTAGATATAGTTTTTAAAATTTAGTTTTATCCTTTTTATTGTGTATTGTATTTATCATAATTTTCTATATATATATATTCACAAAAGATCATATTTAAACTAATATTAAAATAGAAAAAAATCAAATGCTCTTTCCATCATCGAAATCTATATTCACTTGTATTTTTAAGTTGTTATATATATATAAAAAAAAAAAAAATCTCATTTTTTTAGCAAAAAATATATCTTTTTTGTATATTTTTAATATAAAAGGCAAAAAATATAAATACAATTGGATAACGGAGACATAATAACTAACAATGTATTTATTATGTGGTCAATTACGTAAAGGAATATTAAATTGTAAAATAGATTAATTAAATTATATGAATACAATAACTGTGAAAAATATAATTTGTCGTTCAAATAACCATTGAGAAGTTTGATGGAAAAAATTCAAATACAAAGGAAAAACAAATAAGGTAAGCATCATTTTGTTTGTTTTGATATTCATTTTTCTATGATCTTCGAAATCAAAATGATAGTCAGGATGAATTAACAATCAACATTTCAGATCACCATATTTATACTCAAATCATAAAACACAACAACTATGCATTTCCAAATTGGCCTATAAATCATTTCATTAGTGAAATTCAACCTATCCTAATTATCCTAAAAAGATCATGACATAAGTTGAAAAGTTTTAGTAGGAAAAAAAATGATAATAGAATATATAATTTTTTTATAATTGTCAGATCAAAAATACTATTGACAAAATAATATATAGTGAAATCAATAAAAATCACTAATATTAAAACTGTAGAAATATTTAAACCATAATAAAAAAGTGAAGTCGCACAACCACACTATTATATTATAGTCATATTGCTTTTTTTTTTTTTTTTTTTTTTACAAAAGCGCACACACACACATATATATATATATGAACATTTAATTCACGATACATGTCTATTGTCAAGATAATAATTCTCAAGTTTAATAACGAGATCAATGTCTCACGGGCAAATTACATAATACAATTTTATTTAGAATGAATGAATTATCCATCATGGAAATAAATTTTTCGTAAAATCAAGAATATATTTCAAGTAAAATATCACAACCAACCGAAATCAAAGTCCAAATCGTACGTCTTTCATATCAATTGGTTCTTCCTTCTTGAATAAAAAAAAGAATGCAAATGCAAAAATATTTCTCAATCTAAAGATAAAAAATAAAATAAAATAATGATATCAGTCATTTTTTCGCAGAACAATCTATGACCCGTAGTGCTTCAGTTCACTCGTATTGCTCTCTAAGGTAGAATGATTTACATAATCTTGAAGTAACACAATTGTCAAAAAGCACCGGCTAATAGGATGAGGGTAATATCTTCAAAAGAGATTAAAGAAAAGAGAGAGAGAGATAAATATCTAGTTTTGGAACAGAAAACACTTGTGTATGAAAAGAAAATTCACTTCTTAAAAGTCTAATAGATTATGCTTATATAGACCATTCCACTCAATCGAAAAGAAAAATATCCTTAATTGAGATCTTAAAAAAATAATAATTGTAATTAAGAATTAACCATAATTAAGAACCAAAATAAGAAAAAAAAAAAAAAAAACTACATCCATCCGACTCTAAAGGTTTCATTTACTTTTTGCATGTTGATATTTAAATATTAATTTATATCAAAACATAGTATAAATTAAGAAAAATTGCAAAAATACTTTCACTAGTGTTTTATAATACTAATAGAAGGATATTTGTACAAAAAATTATACAAATATAAGGATATTTTTAATGTTAAGTATAATGACGGAAAAGGTAAATGTGATCCTTAGAGGCGGACGGAAAAAACATAATAATTACAGTTACGGCAATAATTAAGATTTGATTACAAGGAAATTCTTAAGTATAAAAACATAAATTAAAAAAAAAGAACACAAATATTTTAAAAGTTTGTCTAAAAAATTTTAGAATTTTTCTACTTGACCCGTGAGCTCACCGTCTCAATTCAACATTCGATCGAAAGCCTACTGTTCAGTTTGACACATCATTAAATAATCTAATACGGATAATTATATTTTCAACTCATCAATACTAATATGATAATGTCCGCTTTGGGCTGAGCTCGCACGAATTTGCTTTTGAAGTTACACCAAAAGACCTCGTACTACCGGAGTTCATTTAGACCTTATGAAATGTGAAATTTTTTTCGTATCTTCCAACGTGGGACTTGGGTTTGCACCCCAATATAAATTTTCTCAAAATTAGGGGTAAGCATTGGTCAACCCAAATTAAAATAATAATAATAAATCGGTTAATTAGTTTGGTTTGATCCAAATTGAATTTATAAATTTCAGTTTCGATTCGATTATGATTTTCAATTTTCAATTTCGATTCACCGAAAAGCCTAACCTTTAAAAAAATTTAAAAAATATATATTAATAAATAATAAATTATTATTTCAAGTATTTGTATTTGACTGTATATGTCACTTATATATTAATAAATAAAAGTTTGATTTATTCGGTGTTAAACTAAACCAAACCGAACTAGTTTCATTTGATTTATTTGGTTTTTGAAAGCTTTGATTCGGTTTCGGTTTTAAATTTTACAAACCGAAAACTAATCAAAATTTAAAATTCGGTCCGATTTGAATTGAACCTACCGAATACACACCCCTGTTCAAAATGAGTATTCCTAACACTCTTCTCTTTTACAATATTATTATTATTATATTTTCTATCAATCATATTCTTCTCGAATGTGCAGAATGTTAAATTCTTTTTTTCACGGTGCAGACCACCTGCCTAATTGAGAAAAAGAAATGTTATAGTAATCCATTACAAATAATTTGAAAAGTATAACAGTTTATTTAATTGAGCACAAGAAAAGCAAATTGTAAAATAAATCGATGCCATAAAATTATTTTTTTAAAAATATATTATTATAAAGAAAAAAAAAAGACAATATATATATATTTCTTCCCTTATTTATTTTTTTTTTGTGCATCCATTGATAATGAACTTCACAATCAATACAAGAGTGCAAATAAACTGCAAATAGAAATCACAGCATAAAAAAAAAAAAAAAAAGTCCAAAACAAACTCCACATAAATAAACTTACTTCCAACATCGATTACACCGATCTACTCTCACAAATTCTATATATACATATATATAGAGAAAGAGAGAGAGGTTCAAATTCGGTATCTCATCAGGGTATCCTTAAGGTGCAAGCACTCGTGATAAACCCTCCATGCATAATCTTCGAAAGAAAAGGAAGTGAACAAACTCTTTGATCCATTTTTCTCGTAAATGTCATCTTCTTCTTCTCTGTTTTGTAGTGATACTAAACTAGGAATACGAGGGGAGACAGTGCTCTCGACGGGAAGTGTAATAATCAACGACATTGTTATGCAATGAGAGTTGTTATTTTCACTAGGAATAGGCCTTCCTCTCACTTTCTTCACTTTTCCATTGCTCCAAACCTATTAGTATATATAATAAATCACGTACAAAATTACAAATACATATATATATATATGTATATGCTAAAGATAATCAAATACAACAATCTCAATTAAATAAACTATCATTTACAAATATTTTTTGTTAGTTGAGATTAAAGCTCTATTATCTCTCTTTTTATCTTTTTTTAACATGTGTAAAATTATCTTATAATTAAAAAATATATGGGTGTATTCATATAAATATTTTTTTCCAATATAATTTTCAATATATACAATATTTGCTCTTTATTTTCTAACAAAAAGTAATAATTTAAAACAAAATATTATTATTTTATATTATATATATACGATTCATCATACCTCACGTAAAATAATATATTAATTTTTACAATTTTTTACTATAAGAATTTTATGATGTATTGTGATTTATGTGGGATTTAAATCATAATTTTAATTTAAATAATATATTTAACCTATTATTTTTTGTTAGAAAAAATAGTTTTTATATTGAAATGTCTAAAATTAAATAGTAAAAAAATATAAAAATTAATATTTAATGAAATATTTTGTAAAATATATATTCTTTTGTTTAAAAAAATAACAAACTCAAATATTAATTTTTTCTAAAAAAATATATATTATTACATACACACGGTTTCATTTGTTTTACTATTCAAAACTGCACGTACAAAATTTATAATAATAATAATAATATAATTCCAATTTTATAAATTAGAAGTTTACCGCACGTGCTCCAATTTATATTTTATGATATAACATAATTAAAATATTATCATAACTAATTGTGGATCATTCTTGACCAATATGGAATCAGCATAAAATTAAGAATAAAAAAACTATACATAAATAAGCCACGTCAAAGATATGGTGCTAATTTTAAAAATTAAAATTATTAAATATTAAATTATTGGTACATAAATTATTTCGGTACGCAGTACAAAAAATTGTGTCAAAATATTAAATATATTATTATAAGTTGAATATTTGCTTTTTTTTTATCGAGATCTGATTTAATCATTATATTTGTTTATGATTAAATTATTTCTATTTAATCTTAATGCACAATATTTATTTTATAAATTTTAATCATGACAAGCAACTAACTTGGAAATGCTTATTACATAATTTCATAACTTAAATATTATCGGTCTCTGTTTTAATTATTTAAATTTAAATAATATTTTAGTGAAAAATAAGAATATTTTTAATAGAATCGTACTAGTTGAGTTGGGGAGCACTGACCTGAGCGATATCTCCAATAGTGACCAGCAGAGATTCTGGCCGGCCCGGGACTGTGACCCAACCCGAATCCGACAGCAAAAGCTGATTTCGTCTCTGCATTTGGTAATGGAGCCCCACTACGTACGGGTAGACCCGACCCGGTCTACTCGAACCACCCGATATCCACATCAGCGGGCAAAGCTTTTCGCCCTCCGGCGGGCTTTCGAATCCGGCGGCGGCGGCCAACGCCTCCGCCACCGTCAGCCCGATTTTCTCCATTTCGGCGGCGAACTCGCGCAGCGGACCCATGCTCAACTCCTCCGCCGACTCGGCGGCGCCCGCCGTGCCGTCGAGGCAGAACGACTCGGCGGCGCCGTCGTCGTCGCCGGTATCGTGGCCGAGCGGCCAGTTGGCCGGAAAAAGGGACTTTTTCCGGTGATCGGGGAGGTCGAAGAGAGCGCCGGCGGAGGATGCGGCGGATGAAGGGAGGCCGGCGGGGATGCGGTGATCGGCGAGGTGGAAGAAGCCGAACTGAGTGGCGGCGGAGAGGAGAGAGGAATTGAGGGAGGAGAGAGAAACTACTGGAGGTGTAGCCGTCTCCGCCGCCGCGGCGACGGCGGAGGAGGGGCGGCGGGAGAGGGAGAGGGAGGGAGGGAGGCGGAGGAGGAGATGGGAGAGAAGGTCGGAGGACGCCGTCGACGGCGGCGCAGAGAGGTTGGGCTGAGCGGAGGGGGTCGGCGGCGGTGCCGCTACCGTGGCGGCGGCGGCGAACGGAGCGCGGTGGCGGTGGGAATGATTTTCAGCCGACGATGCCATAGCTTGTAGTGCGAATGGACGGTGGAGATTGAATGATTGAAAATAAAGGGAGACTGAGCCGCCAAACTAATGTGATTTATATTATGTATGAACTCACACAGATGATATACAACAAAATAAAAAATAGGCTAAATTACACAAAATTCGTCGGTGTTATTATAAAATTGCCCTAAATCTCTCATATTTTTAAAATTGTGTCAAATTTCATTGTAGTTTCATAAATTCTGTGTTTAGCCCCTTGGCGGTCATTATCTAACGGTATTTGACTTAAATGCGCTCACACTGCGAATAAATTTTAAAATCTCAATCACTGAATCCCTAAAATTACAAATACTCCATCGGTCTTATAACTACATATCTATTTATTTTTTCCACGAAATTTTATAAATATTAATATTATATTAGAATGTAGTAGGAATAAAATAAAAATGACTAAAATAATTTTATTAGTATTGTGTGATATAAAAATAATAACATTTGTGTAATATATTATAAGTTGTAATGGTATTTGTAATGTTAGGTAGACAGTACAGTTACTAAAAAAAGAAATAGATATTTTGTTATAAGACTAGACTAAAAGAAAAAAATGAATAGTTTGTTATGAGACGGAAATAGTATATTTATTTTTTTTATATTTAGCTTGAAAAAAATAGTAAATATTAATTTTTAAAATATGAGAAAAATAACTATTTTTTAGTATATTTACTATTTTTTATGCTAAATATAAAAAAATAAATATATTTGTAATTTTACGGATTTAGAAATTAAAATTCTAAAATTTATTGGCAGTTTAAGTGCATTTAGATCAAATATCGTTAAATAAAGACCGCCGAATAAGTTAGATGCAAAATTTATGAAACCACGAATAATTTGACCAGATTTTAAAAGTATAAAAAATTTGAAGCAATTTTATAAAATTACATCGATTTTTGTGCAATTTAGCATCAAAATAAGAATTAATAAATTTAATATTAATATTAAAATTATTGGTATGCAAACCAGTTAATATAGTTTATTAGTATTTAAAAACAAACAAGCAGAGAACCACAAGGCATTGTTCCCGCAGGTTGTTGTCTTTTTATAAAAGTTAGAATTAAATCAAAGAAAAATAATTGAGCAGCTTTCTGCAGGTGAGCCCATCGTGGCTGTCACCATTTTAGTAATTTTTATATTTTTTTAAAAAATACAGAATAAACAAATACAGGATTTTATTTCTTAATTCCGTGTGGTTGGGCTTTGGGCCCAATATTGATGATCAACTACTGGGCCACTTGAGAATATGGGTGCTAATCAATTGTACTGATTGGGTACAAATTGGGGTTTGTTACTTTGTTTATATTGTTATTTGAAATTGATTTTAAATAATATGTTTGATTTATGTTTTTGTTTATATAAAATTTTAATACTCCTTCCGTCCTATAACAAAGTATTCATTTTTTCATTTTAGTCCATCCCATAATAAAGTATCCATTTCTTTTTTAGTAACTGTACTATCTACCTAACATTACAAATATCCTTTCAACTTACAATATATTACACAAATGTCATTACCTTTATATCACACATACTAATAAGGTTATTCTAGTCATTTCTACTTTATTCCTACTATATCGTAATATAATACTAATATTTCTAAAACTACGTGCAAAAAGCAAATGGATATTTAGTTCCGGGACGGAGGGAGTATGATATTTTATTAGATAAAATAAGGAGTATATTTTTATTAAAAATTTTATAAGGTGAATAATGTTGATTTGACTTTAAAATAGTAAAAAATAAATCCTTAGATTATGGTTTTAAAATTTTGATATGAAATGTAAGGTTGATTTAACTTTTTATTTAAATAGTACTCTCCCGCCCCATCTTTTATATTCGATTTACTGTAGATACAAAAATTTAAGTAAAAAATAATTAATATATAATTAACAAATAATAATATAAGTATAATTATAAATTAATATTAAGATAACTAATTAATTCAATAAAAATTTTTTAGAAAAAATGATTATAAAATTTTAAAATAGTATAAAAATATAATTATTTTTCATAAAAATGAAAAGACAAATAAAATGGGACACACGGAATAAAAATACTGAAGAAATAAGGTGGACAAATGGAGTATTTCGATGTAATGTTTATGAGAAAAAAAATACTATTTTTATTAAATATTGTATAGAATAAATGATATTAATTTTAATTTAAAATCATAAAAGAACAACTATAGACAAAGTCATGGACGGAACTATGTGGGGCTTCGGGTCACCTGCCCCGGCCCCGAAAATGTTTTTCTTTTTTTAGTTTAAAAAATAGTAAAATTGTGCGTTTTTAATATTTGCTCTCTTATTTTTAGTTTTGTGTAAAAAAAACTAATAAATTTTAGAGTCATATTGATTTGTTCTTTAATATTCAATACATTTTAGTAAAAAATAATAAAATTTATATAGTTATATTAATTTTTTTGTCTCAAATATATTATTTTTGTCCAATCTTTTCTTTTTCCTTCTTCTCTACGTACCAAATGGATCAAAAAAAAACAAAACAAAAAACAAAATCGAATTGATAAAATTAAATCCACGTTTTGCTCCCCTGTCTTAAGTATCCAATTCATACCTTTAAAATTATTAAGAAACATTAGCTCAACCTCACAATTCTTGCACATTGTAACATTCGTTGTTTCTCAGGGAATGATTATCGAGTGTTCGTACCGAACTTATACAGTTGTGTTTTTCCATTGAATCAAGACTTGAAATTTCAAGTGATTTGGTTGGGTTACCATGGTAACCTCTCCAACTTGTGGATTTCAAATTCACCCCTTTTAGCAATTTGGACATTTTATAACCCTTTGGTTAGCGGATTCCACTAAGTTTTCTAATGACTTTACATATTTAATAGTCAAAACTCCACTGACGATCAAATATTTTATAGAGTTATATCTACGCCGGATAAGTCGGAATTTATCATTGTATTATGTTCTTAAGAACTATTAATATTTTGGAGATTTTTTTTTAATAAATTTACTATATTTTTTTGCCTCAATCAAACTAAAAACCACATCCAAATGTTTTATATATTTATTTATTGTGAAAACTTATTTTTTAGTCCAATAGCTAACCTCAGTTATCATTTTAGTTTATTTTGATTTAAATAATAATTTGATATTTTATTTTATGAAAAAAAAATTATATTTTTATTAAAAATGATAAGATATACCCTTTTTCATCCAAACTTTTTATGTTATTTTGTTTTGATAAAGATATAAAAAGATTAATAATATTTTCAAATAAAAGTGAAGTAGGTTGAAAATAATACGAGAGTATTACGATTATTTTATTTAAGTGTTAACAAAAAAAAATAATGAGGTAAGTTGATAAATATTACTAAATTAGTTATTATATGTTAAAATGTTAATAATAAAATTATTTGTCAAAAAAAATTATATAAATATTCCGAATAAAAGAAATATATAGTAAAAAATTATGGGAAAAAAGTACAAATATATATATATTTGTATATATTGTATAACAAATCAATACGTCGATACATACATCGACAATAGTTAGATGCTTCTTGGTAAATTATGCGTCATACCTTCTAACAAACATTTGTCTATATATATATATATATATATTGTATGTGTATTAGAGAAAATAAGATATGATTCAAAATTCAAGTTATCTCCATTACCCTCTCATCCGGCTCTCTCTCTATCTACTGCACACTCTCTCTTTCTAATATATATATATATATATATATTATATACCTTAATACAAACACACCCAACATATACAATTATATTATATATCTACCTTTGATTGGTTCAAAAGAGATTCAACGTCTCCGAGTTTTATATGCAGCGAAAAATATGAAGTTGTGGATGGTCAACACAGCTTTGAACGCGTGGTTGCCTTGTGGTTGTAACAACAGTGTGTGTTCGTACACAAATCGATGGGTGAATGAATGCAAAGAAGAATAACACACGGGTTTGTTTACCCAGTTCGGTTTTTCAACTTGCGTTTGGGGGATTCCAATCCAAAAGTCTTAATTAAATCAAACTTTTGGCTTACACCATATAAGACACCAAACCTAACTATCCAACCTATCTTCTATCTAAACTCCATTTAGTTTATACAAACTCTCATGAACTAGCTGTTACTACACCGCAACAACTCCAGCAGGCCAGCAAACAAGCTAAGAATAAGGTTGTTTACCAGATAAATATCTTATTCGGCTTCGACTCCAAGAATCCTTCTTCTCGTCTTCAATCTTCTATTGAAGAACCTCTCAACACTCTCTCAAGGTGGAGAGAATACACTCACAAATGTTCTAATCGCTGTGTGTGAGGTACACAAACACAAATATACAAACAAAATATATACACACTATACAAAGGACAAAATTGACTATGACAACTTTTGGGGCATTGTGTTTAAAGCCATTTAATGCCATGCAAGAGGTATAAAACATTCCACAGTCACGTTTGCATCTCTTCCACATAGGACAATTCCTTTTGTCCCAAAGCATTTAAAATTCGATGGTCAAACCTGCTCCCTGTCAGATTTGCAATACCAAGTAGCTACAACATGTCAGTGCTTGTTCATTGCCAAAATAGCAAAAAAAGGACTTTGGCTTTTTGCTTGTTCCAACAAGAATAATTAATATTCTTATTTGTTATTCCTATAATATTAATATTTACAAGACGTTATCAGCACGATCAGTTTTTTCGGCATGGTAGATATATTTTAGTATTATTATGGCTACTAACATTGCAAAACAAGAATTTGTCTCACTTGTCATTTCTTGAAAAAATTATCTATCGTGGGCCATGGATGTTGAAATGCATCTGAAATCGATGCGCTTGGATGAAACGATTGTGAAAGATAATAATCTCACCATTCAGAACCGAGCAAAGGTAATGACATTCCTCCGACATTATATCGATGAAGGGCTGAAATGGAATATCTCACAGTCAAGAATCCTCTCGACTTCTGGAATATACTAAAAGAAAGATACCGATCAACTGAAGTTAAGAGTTTGATAACTCTTGATTTTACTATATTTTATAGTTTATTTTTATTTAATTAATTATTTATTTATATCGAATTTTGATATTATTTATG